AAATGAGATAATTTATGTCGGCTGCTTTACTGTCCGACGTAAATTATCTCATTTACGTCGGACTCATCTTTGTCCGACGTAAATAACTTCTATTATTTACGGAACTGCCACCGCGTTTTTACAACGTCGGGTGTGCTAGTTTCCGACGTAAATGAAGAGACGTAGTAGCTCCTTTTTCCACTAGTGAGGGCATTGTTAGGTTGGTGTTTTGCTGAGGAAGGTCTGCAATTAGCGGATGAAGTTTTATTCTTTTGATGTAGTTAGCTACTTAGTTAGCATTTGCTGGATGTATTTTTATTTTGTACACTCTAACTCTAGCCGGATTGGGACCTTGTATATATATATATTTTAGATCTTATATTTATATACTTGTTCTTTTCTGTCTGGTATTTCCGGTGTGATGTGCTGTGTGTAGTAACCAGTCGGGTCGTTACAATTAGAATATTTTAAATTATTTAAAAATTTATTATAACATAGTTTACAGGAATGAAATGTATTAAAGAATAGTAATCTAGTAAATGACAGTTATAAACACATAAAATAATTAAATAACATAAATTAGAAATACCTAATTAATTATTTAGAGTAAAGGGTATCATAGATTAAACAAGCAAATGAGGTTAAAGCACCTAACTAAATAAATATATATAAATATAACAAAATAAATAAATATAACAATATAAAAAACTTAAAAGGGATAAAATCTCCTTTTTTACCTTAATAAAAAAAAAGGTGGAATTGCTTAGAGATAATTAAGACTGCGTAAAAAAAATTTCTCACTTTCCCTTTTTCATGCTATTTCTTTCTCTTCCTCCTTAATATTTCTTCACGTTTTCTCTCTTTTTCTTTCTCCTCGACCCCCTCCATCTCTATTTATAGGAGCCTTAAATGATTATTTTATTATTATCATTATATTTATTTAGTTAGAAATGGGTGAGACCATTTATTACCCATTGCTTATTGATAATTCTCTTTACATATAGATAAAGAGATAAGATTTGTAATGTACTGCTGCAGATTTGCTGTAGCAAGTTTTTTTATAATTTTATTTTAATAAACCTCTCTCTTTTTATATACATATAAAGAATAATTTTTTAAATATCTATATACTTCATAATAATAATAAAATTAAAGTTTTATTCTAAAAAAATTAAATTTTCTAAAAGAAAATTATAATGTAATTGAAATTTTTATATCTCCATTTTAATTTACTAGAAATATAAAAAATTCATAGCATAAAAAAATCATTATACTTAAATTTGTATGTATTTTTTTTTTAAATGTAGCTAAAAATTTAAATTATTATTTTGACAATAATAAAATTGAAAATATCATAATATGGTATGAAAAATTCAGAATATTACAAGGTAGTATTAATTATGCATGAAAATTAATTTAGAAGATTTGATTTTTTTGGAATTAAATATTACATAGATTTTTTTTCTTTTCTTGAATTTACTAAATAAAGAAGTGAGAGATAGTTTTTTTTTTCTCCAAAGAAGATACTCTCTTTTTTTTTTTGTATTTAAAAGGGGGTATTTATGCTCCTAAAATTCACTCAACACATATCCTCTATCATGGAATTGTTTCCTCGGTCAATGACTTTTTTGTTAATTTTGTTCATTAGTTATTTTTTTTGTCTCAGCAAAGCCACAGATTGTGGCGGGAAAGATGTTTCAAATACCATTACTGTTGGTCAAGATGGCAAAGTAACATTTAGAACAATTCAAGCTGCCATTGATTCTGTAAAGAGTAACAATGATCGATGGGTCAAGATTCACATAAAAGCCGGTACTTACATGTAAGTTGAATTCATATTATTTGTAACATCTTGTATTGTTTTTTTGTTTTATTTTTTATTGATTTTTTTTTTGTTTTAATGACAAACAAGAATTTGTTAAAAAAAAATAAAGAATATATCATGCTTTAAAACAATATTCTTATTGTTACATATATATACATTATTTACTCTTTCAACATTAAATAAGACTAATACGTGAAATTAAAATAAAACAACATATCTACTCATTAATTTTTTTTATTTAAATAATGTTATTTTTATAAATTCAAAAATTAGAACTACAAATAACTAAGTAATTATCCACACCTTAACCATTTTGTCATTACTAATCTAAATTATCTTGGTGGTAGTATTGAGACTTTCCATTTAAAATAGGATGAAAAAATCCTAATTCTTCGAAACATTGATTATACTCAGGATTCTATAATCAATTTTGTCCATTTATAAGTTAGTACTTTTATAGATTTTGTTGTTTATCCCTCGGATCCACATTGAAATGGGCCTAAAATCTTTACAAATTCATTTCGCCATCATGTTCTCTTTATGTTTGACGAATTCGTATTTAAAATGAACATTATTTTCAAAAACTCATATAAAACAACTATTTAAATGTATTTAGGAATATTGCAGAAATTATAAATTAATAAATGAGAGTAATTTATTTTAAATATATAAATTAAAATTTTCTTAATCTATGTGTAAAAAGTTAAAAGAACCAAAACTTTAAAATAAAGGGAGTATTATTTTTGTCATTAAGTTCATAAGATAATTAGCTTTTTTTTCTTTCATTTTTAAAAGCAATTAATGATTTTTAAGCGTTAATTGCTCCATCAATAAAAAGGAAATTAGTTGGGAATAGCTTTCTTTGTCTTTGACATTTATGACCCACGATATTGATAAGGATAAATGTTCAAACTCACTATAATTCAAATTATAATGTTTTCATACATAGCTACAAAAATTCTGATCAAATTTTCAACCAAAGTCATATTTACCATTTTTACTGCGTCCATTTAACATTGACAACCCTATTTATTTATCAGATTCGGTGTTGTTTTTCTAACAAGGAATGTATATCCTGCCCCAAATTTTTTTCTTGTTGATCTTTGAATTAATTACCTTTGTTGAAAAATAATATCTTGCACGTGATTTTTTCTCTCTTGAATTTGGAACTTTTTAAGAATTTACCATTTTCATAAAAATGTATGTTGTTAATTATTCCTATATTGTATTTGTGCAGAGAAAAAGTTCAAATTCCTATAGAAAAACCATGCATCATTTTAGAAGGAGAAGGTAGTCAACGCACGATCATAAGTTTCTCAAACGACGACAAAACAAAGAATAGTGCTATATTCATTTCATCGCCACCAAACATCGTTCTAAGTGACATCACTTTCAAGGTGAATACATAAAAAAATTGATAAAAGCAATCATTTGGGCAATTATATAATATTATTTATTCCTAATATATTGTTATGTAATTGCAGAACTCATATAATGTGGATAATATAAGTGCACAAATATTTCCAGCAGTGGCAGCAACAATATACGGAGACAAATCTTTTATCCTCAGGTGTAGTTTTTTAGGTTATCAAGACACTTTATTTGATGCTTATGGACGTCATTACTATAAAGATTGTTACATTCAAGGTGAAGTGGACTTTATTTTTGGTGGTGGACAAGCTTATTTCGAGGTAATACACAAATGTATTTTTTTTTTTAAATTTTTGAAAATGAAATAATACACACATTCATTTTTATGTGATTTGTTTTTGTCACCTGTAGAATTGTTTGCTCAATGCTACAGGGAGAAATAAAGATTTACCAGGTTTTGTCACAGCTCAAGGAAGAAAATTTTCTAATAGCTCAAGTGGTTTTGTATTTGAAGGCGGTTCCCTAGTGGGAAATGGTAAAGTGAACTTAGGAAGAGCATGGAAAGCTTACTCTAGAGTTATTTTTCACAAAACAAACTTTTCTTCTGTGGTATCTCCTGAAGGATGGAATTCTTTTGGTCGTACTGGTCAAGAGTAAGTTTTAATAAATATATTCTTAAAAATGGGCAATGCAAAAGTAATGATCATAATTTTTTAAAACTAAAAAAATTATGATTTATTTTATTAGTGGGTATTTTTTTGTATTGAGAAATTTTTTCTTCATTTCTCTTAATTTGTTAATAAATATTTGTAGGATCAGTAAGATTACTTATGCTGAAGTAGACTGTAAAGGACCAGGGGCTGATACTTCAAAGCGTGTTCCATGGATCAAAAAGTTGAGTCCTTCACAGTTAGAAGAATTTTCTTTAGCATCTTTTATCAACAAAGATAGTTGGCTCGACAATTTACCAACTATCTCCTAGTAATTCATTTTTCTAATTTCGATTAAGAATTTTTGTATGGCTAAGTTTAGTTGAATGATCTCCAATTATTAATCTTTGTATGCTCAAATAAAAAATGAAGCAGTTTGCCATATGAAGATTCTTTTATACTTTTAATAAATAAAAGTGAATGTTAAGTTATTTTGATATATCACACTTCATTTCTAAGTTTGTTTTATGACGAAATAATTCTCCAACAAAAAATAAAATTACGTCATTTCTCTTCCAAATTTTTTTGACCAAATAGGGAATAATATTTTTTGTTGGCTCAACATAAGGGTTAAAAATTTATTATTAATATGATTAAGTTCATTCAAAAATTAATTTTCTTATTATCCTATTATATAATGTTTTTAACATTTGGAGTGTAATATTTTTTCAAAGTGATTAATTATGTTGTGATAACGAGTCAATTTGTTTCAACTTAAAAATTGATTAAATAAAGAATGTTTCTTAAAAAATAATTTTTTTTTGAAGTAAATAACATTTGCTTCTTAAAAAAGTAGAAATTATCTATTTTTAAAATAAGCAGTTTTGACAAACACACTAAAAAGTAAAAGACGGTTGATTCTATTAAATAAAATGTTTTAATTAGAAAGAAATAAGATGCTTTAAAGCAATTTATTATTATTTTTATTATGAAACTATGCTATTAAACAATATTTTTTATATATCATTTGAGATTTTTTATTCATGACATAACAACAAATTAATATTTATTTAAAACATGATTAATGATGTATATCATTTTTCTTGCAAATTCACAAGTATACATATTGAAGTTGTTATTATAAATACTAGACGGACGATTTAAAAAAGATAACATGGAATTAAGATGTCTAATTAATTAAAGAATAATTATAGAGTATGGTCCATATTTATCATAGTTATTCAATTTTGAATGAACATTTCTTGATTAAGTTGTTGCAAGTTCTAGAATATTAATAATATCAATTAGCACCGTCTTGATAATTTTGTTGATATAAAAACTTGAAATATAATCATATTTTGTCACACAGATGGTTGAAATATAACCATGCTTAGTTGCGCAAAATTTTAATAAATTTTTGTTCGTGAAGTTATTGCAACAAGTTTGAGAGTATTATTAATCTCATTTAACATTATCTTAATAGTTTTGTTAAAAAAAAAAGGATACAATTATTTTGATATACTGATTAAATACTTGTGCATTATATCTACTTTGTTTTATAACTTATGGTGTAATAGATTGTTATAGTTTTGATATTAATATAGATTTCAGTGATGCTTTTATTTTTAACTTTTAATCATTATCTTAACTATTTTATTCTAATATAAATTCAATTAAAAAGTTAATATATACTTATTTTATCTTTACCTCATTTTCTTCGATTTTTATCGATTTTTATTTGTGAAGTTTGTTTCACACTTTAAATATCATAAAATAGTATAGGATTAAGGAAATTTATGTTGATACTTTAGTAAGTATACCAATATCAACTTATAAGTAATAGTAAGTATGAGTCATCTCTATAAAAATTTTGACAGATATTGATCAAATTTCACACTTAAGCAAATTAAGAAATTATTATCCATAATTCTATTAAAATAAGACACAAACTTTGTTTTGTTACTCGGAATTCAAACTATAAATAAAATGCAACAAGTAGTAAAATCAAATTTAATTCAATAGATTTAGATAATTGGGACCAAAATTCATCAATCAAGATTGAATGTACTCCATAATTAATCTAACACACATGCTTAACTCTTATTCATTCCATCAATCCAATTGAATTAAATATCTAAACATCAATTCCTCAATATTTAGTTCTAAACATATTCATAGATCACAAATCATTACTGACTCAACCAAAGTATTCTTTGATTTTTCTCTTCAAGAATTTATCCAAGTATTTTTTGAACAATAAAACCTCTCCAAGCTTGAACGACCAAATATTCTTTACAAGAAAGCCTTTTCAGACTTCAAGTACTAACACAAAGTTAAAGTTGAGAAATCACTTGTTGTTTTGTCTTACTTTTATGACGTGATATAACCAAATTAAGAACAGACGATTTTATATAAAGAATTGAGTAAAATTTTTAGAATGGTTATTTACCCTATCTTTTTTAGTCTTCAAGCTTCTTTATATAGGTGTTTTATGAAAATGATATTGCAAATCTTGGAGCATATTTCACAGGGTTGCTTTGTCTATTTTCATCTTCCTTTCTTATGGAGAAAAATGTTTGTTAGTGCATTAAATGTGAGTATTAAATGAGATCATTAAATGTGTTTCACCAAATTTTTACTTCTTATTTGATCAAGGAGGCTATTTATCACTTTTAAGGTACCAAACAAAAGGAATTGTTGTTTGTGTTAGTCAGAAATGACTTTTTATGAGACTTTGCATACTTTGAGGAATTTGCTTGTTCTTTCTTTGATGAAAAGCATGTCTCTACTCTTTTTTGAAATGCAAGTACCAAATAATCTTTTATTCCTATCAATACATTAAGGAATAACATAGACAAAGATGATTTAGTTATCAAATACAAAAAATGATATACATTAAATGCATTTGTCTTACACAAATGAAGTGATTCATCTAAGAGATTATATGTCATCATAACCAAACATCTATTCTATTTCGTCATATAAAATAATTTGAAAAGTTTTTCTCTGATAAAAACATCTAAGTTTATTAGCATTAAAATTGATACCTTGAGGGATCCAAGATTTATTTTTGATCTAACAATCTTTCTTCTTTTAGTGGTGAGAAACATATTTTTGAAAAGAGAAAATTCTTTTGTGCTTATCAAATCTAGTCGATTTCTATCATCAAACAAATAATCTCTTGAATCATACCTAAATATATGTTTTAATTAGGGATGGTAATGGGGCCCTGTGAGGGTGGGTAGTAAGATATTTGTACCCACCCTATTAGTTAAAAATCTACCTTGTACCCACCCCATACACCTGCAGGTACCCGTAAATTTTATAAATATCTATGGGTATCTACGGATATCCATGAATACTTGTATTTTTTTAAAAAAAAATTTAAAAAAGTGTTATAAATCATTTTAATCTTGTATTTGATATTTAAGTATGTTGAAATATTAAAAATAAATAATTGATATTAATTTTTGTACTTACAATCAATGATATATATTTTTTGAAATATAAAAAATAATATTAAAAAAATACAAGATAAAAATATAAATATTTAAATAATATTATTAAGTGAGTATCCACGGGTATGGATATACTAGTGCAAAAATTAGATTTAAAATCGGAGTTTTAAGATCAGTTACAAGATAATCGATCTTAAAAGTGACGCGGTGCCAATTTTGTAAATAAACTGAACACTTTTAAGATTGGTTCAAATTTAACCGATCTTAAAAGTACTTTTAAGACCGATTCTTTTGTAACTAATCTTAAAAGTTGTGTCTGACACAACTTTTAAGATCGGTTACAAAAGAACCGATCTTATAAGTTGTATCAGACATAACTTTTAAGATCGGTTATAAAATAACCGATCTTAAAAGTACTTTTAAGATCGGTTATTTTATGACCAATCTTAAAAGTGCTATTTTTAAAATTGGTTATTTCAGAATCGATTTTGTATGTAGTATACAAAATCGATTCTGAAATAACCGATTTTAAAAGTTTCCTCAAAAACCTTTTATATTTCCCTCCAATCTCATTCTCTTTAATCTCTCCCTCCATTCGTTTTTTAAATCTCTCTCTCGCGCTCTCATTTTCTAAAGAGGTAAACTTCGTTATCGTTTTCGTTTTCGTTTTCCTTGTAACACCCAGTTTTTTTTTATTATTGATGGCATTTTCGTAATTATTGATGGCATTTTCGTAATTTTAATAAAGGAATAAGGGTATTTCTGGGTGTCGGAACGGGCCGTTCCAAATGCAGAACGGGCCGTTCCAAAAGAGGGAATATGCTGTTTTTCAGAGTCCCAGAATGGGCGTGGAACAGACCGTTCTAGAAGGGAGAACGGGTCGTTCTGAAAGCAGAACGGGCCGTTCTGCTGGGTTTTGGAACGGACCATTCTGGTTTCGGAATGGGCCGTTCCAGTTGAGAAATTTGCCCACGTTTGAAGGCTCCGAAACGGGCCGTTCCGAAATCAGTACGGGCCGTTCCGGGGACCCCAGGATGCCTATAAATAAAGACTGAGGGGGGGTGAAAAATTATAACTGAGTGAAAAGTGAAAATTCTAGAGAGAGAGAGAAAAAGAGATAGAAAGAAAGAAAGAGAGGGAAAGAAGGAGGGAATCCAGAGGAGGAGGCCCTGCTCAAGTTTCAACTCCGCTTATCCAGGTAAGGAGGGGAGTGAGAAATCTCGCTCAGGGGTGTGGGGATAATTGTTGGATAGTCTGTTTGTCGGATTGGCCCCCAATCCCTTGCCTGTGGTTCTGTTTGGTCTACTATATTCCTTATTACTTTGTTCTTGTTACTTTGTTCTTGTTACTTTGTTCCTTGTTACTTTGTTCTTTGTTGAAGGTGCTGTTGTTCTGTTTGATTTTCTATTTACTCTACTTTGTTCTTTGTTGAAGGTGCCGTTGTTCTGTTTGATTTTCTATTTACTCTACTTTGTTCTTTGTTGAGGGTGCCGTTGTTCTGTTTGATTTTCTATTTACTTTACTTTGTTCTTTGTTGAAGGTGCCGTTGTTCTGTTTGATTTTCTATTTACTTTACTTTGTTGTTTGTTGAAGGTGCCGTTGTTCTGTTTGATTTTCTATTTACTCTACTCTGTTTTTGTTAAAGGTGCCGTTGTTCTGTCCGATTTTCTATTTATTATACTTTGTTCTTTGTTGAAAGTAATAAATGAGTATGAAATTAATGTTAATAATAAATGAGTTTTAATATGAACAAGAATGCTCTCTGTGAATACCTATGCGGACCTTATGAGGAGTATTGATGACATGACCATGTGAAATATGGACAAATGACATGAGACCTAAGAATGGACTATTGAGACAAACTATGATTATGATACTATGACAAATAATGATATGATGTACTAAATGAAATTATGTAATAAGTTAAATGTTGAGTCCATGAGATTATGAATGTATGACATGCATCATATGCATATATTACTCCA